AATGAAAACCATAAAACCGTTTTTTTGCGCTGGTTTATGCCTGCACTTGATCGGCTTAATAGGTTAATTAGAGCTAATAAGTATTCGCAGTGGCGGATAAATGACGGAGCAATTCGGTCTTGGCGATTATTGCGTCAAGATTTAATGCAATTTAGGAAGCTGCGAAGAAATCCGCCTTTGCCAACCAACATGGCAGGCGATTTCTTTGGCCGGAATTATGCAAGTAGTTTAAGGGAGTTGCCTGGTTAATATAGATAGTAAATAATCGTATCATTAACGATGGATGAAATACGAGCTGATCGGACAGAGTATAATAAAAACGCAAGAAAACCGCACTCGTTTTCACTAAGAGTTAAGCAACCAGGAGTCAATGAAAAACCTGAAGTCATTTTCTATACCCTAAAGTATTCTAACAGGGCCAAGAAAGGTCTGGTTAGGGAGTTAGGGAAAGATAGTTCACTATATTCGTACTGTGTGTATTATTCTTCCACTTCGTTTTGGTTTGTGGCAGTTTTTCAGATATTTTTGCCATGTTGCCAATATTTAGTTCTGCTTATAGTTTGTGCTTATAGCTGCCACCGTTTGTTTTGCGGTAGGTTTTCGTGCGTTATACTTGCAGTGTCGTCCGCATATTATTTTGTTTTTCTATTGTTTGTTCGCTTAATTCTTGCTGCGATTTCCAGATTTCTTTAGAGTTTCGTTGATTTTTTGGTAATACTTGAAAACCAAACTGCGCTTTGAATTGCTTTGCTCAACCTGCTCAATTTGTGTCGACATATTCAGAAATTCATCACTTACAGCACAAGTTATATAGAGCGCTTTTTTTGCGCGGTTAAATAGAGCAAGATTTGCTCTACTGTGACTGAAATTTCTAAATTTATTTCGCATTCCGTTGAATTTTGACAAAAACTTGAAAACAAAAATGCGTAATGGACTGTTTTTTTGCAACTTGAGGCTGAGGACTCACATATTCAAAAATGCATGCCTTAGAGCATAAATTAGATAAAACGGTGCTCTTTGCGCTGTTAAATAGAGCAAGATTTGCTCCATGGTCACTATAATTTCTAAATTTACTTCGCGTTTTGTTGAATTTTGACAAAAACTTGTAAACCGTACTGCGTAATGGACTGTTTTTCGCAACTTGACGCTGAGCACTCACATATTCAAAAATTCATCAATTAAAGTACAAATTAGTCAGAATGCCGTATTTTGTCCGGTTAAATAGAGCAAGATTTACTGTGTTATTACTGTGATTTGCAAATGCATTTCTCGGTTCGTTGATTTTTGATGAAGACTTGAAAAGCGAACTGCGTAATGGACTGTTGTTCTCAACTTGCGGCTTCAAGATTCACATATTCAAAAATTCATCACTCAGAGCCCAAATTAGATAGAACGCTGTTCTTTGCGCTCGTGAATAGAGCAAAGTTAGCTCTATTGCTGCTACGATTTGCAAACTTATTTCGCTTTTCGATGTTTTTTGACAGAGACTTGAAAACCACACTGGCAATTTGCCTGTTTGTCTCCAACTGCGGCTTATTCAAGAAATTCATCACATTAAACATCATCATGATTAAACCGCTACATTCTAAGTGAGTATATATTTAAAATTATATTAAATGCATCAAACTGACTAATCGTAAGTCCAATTACTGTCACATTTTTCCACTACTATAAAGATTTCATTACACATCCTAGATAAAGATAATAACAAGCCTAAAAAGGTAATTACCAGGTGAGTGGATATAATTATTCTTTCTAGTTCGTTCGCGCTCGAAGAGCGTTCAGTCAGCGCAATGTTTCGTTCATAAAGTCGTGTAATTACCCGAATTAGGGCTCGACTTTTTGCCTCCTAATTAGCTAGTTTCAGGTCGCCGGTGACACGCAGTACATTCGGTACGTGATGAGAAAACTCATCTATTTCTCTGCCTGTTGGTCTTCTCATCAGATTTTAATTAAGCGAAACACTCATAAGTTCATGTTGAAACTAATGCTAATTGGATAAAGCTACTAGAAAATTATATAATGTATAGGGAATATACAGGGTGTTTGTAATACTTTCTAAAAAGCCGCGGGAACCATTATTCCAAAAAATACTTGGTAAGCGTTGATTTGAGCAATCGTTTTGGAGATTTTTTCAAAACAATCGAAACCGAACCCAATTGATCCAAACTGACCCTGACGAATGCAAAACGACGCAAATCTTTCGCATGAAACCTGCCATAATAAAAGTACAAGATGGGAAGTGAAGGCTTTGAGATGCCATTCTTTGATGAATTTGCGGGAAAAGAGCACACTATTAAATAAATCGGAAAACATGAAAGTACCTACCTAATCGTTATTCGTGTATCTCACAATATTTCATGCCTTTCAATTTTCTTTTAAATTTCTGACCCATTTCCTATGCCATTAGTTAGCAGTGAATTTGGAAAAAATCGCAAACTATCTAGCATTCCGTTCGCGAGTGCGACCCAAAGTCGTAGAACGACCGACAATTTATGTAGTCAGTCGAGTATGTAATAAATTACGTTTGTTTAAATATTATAATTGTTAAATCGTGCGTTTTAGTAATTCTTGTTCAAGTTTCTTTGTTCTACTGCATTCCGTACTGCATCTTTTTCCACTTTCTCGCTACAATTCCGTGTATAATGTGCGGAAATGGACGAATTCCAAGAATGATTGTTTCAGGTTTGTTGTGGTTTTTTATTTGATTAAACCTCGAACAGAGAGAAACACACTTGGAAGCATTAAAGCATAGAAGCAACATTTATTGAATTGAATCAAGAGTGAAAGAAAGTAGAAAAGTCGTTGAGCAGGAAATCACAAAACAAATACATGGCGATTCCAAAAAGAGTTCTGCTGCAATTATCCCACGAACCACGTTCCATTATGTCTTGTATATGAAATTATGCAGGATTTTAGGACGGAAATGATCTATAAACATTCACTGAGTTGAGGAAAACTGTGGTGTTACTCTGGAACTAATTCGACCCACATGTTCTAACCAAAAGGACAGTACACTCTTTTTGCGGCACAAAATCATACCCATTACTTGGCAATTAATCGCATTCGCTGGGTTGTTGTGAACAGGAAAACCATCAAAAAATCGCATTAGATCATTAATATCACACAGCGGGATGTCGCGCAGCGACGTCACTTTTATTAGAATTCATAAAACGTTTTAAAAAAATCGCGTGAAATATGGCGCTACTTGAACTGCCATTTATTTGAAATCGTAATGGCCAAGTTGTTTATGCGGCTAGAGTACGAGCTTCAAGATTAGATTCATTTCTAGAGTAAAAGCAAGTGCAAGTTATTACCGTTTTCCTTATATGGTACCGCGTTTATTTGTTATATACGTTCACAATGGTATTCTTCAAATTCCTGCGCGATGCGTTTAGAAAAATCTAAATTGGGTTTAATGAGGTGCCTGCAATATGTCATCATAAGTTAAAATTCCATTCTCCGGATGTTTATAAAAGTCGACGTGAGAAATGTTTTTTCGCAAAGCGACCGACGCGATATTTTCAGCTGAAAATGTTTTCTACGTTAACCAGTTTTGCATGCAATATGTGAAAAAATAATGTTCGCCGGAATCGTGACACACTGATTAACTCTTTCTACATTAGACAAATGGTTTTCAGACGCGGATATTTGGTCGATCGAAAGTCGGTTAGATTGGCTGATGTATCCGCTACCCGGTTCCGACTTAAGTGGATCGGCCGTTTTGGTTCGATACTTTTTCGCCAGCAGATCGATTGATCTAACCCCGTTTGATTTTGGTCCTTTATTGAGAAAGTTCATAACATATCACGTGGGGGATAATGGAGAACAATTCCAATTTAGTCGATAGATGAATAATCAGTCAATTCATTTTTCTCCCATTATAAGAGAGAAGTTTTAGAGAAATTTTGGTCTTCATTTTTTTTACATCTATTTTTTGCCATCCCTTTCGTCTTAAGTTTTTTAGTACAAATTTACAAAGTGCAAGTTTGCTCTAAGTGCGTCTTGGAATGCCAATTTTTTTGCGTATTATTATCATTCATATTCGTTTTGAGTTCTCCAATGTCCAACGCCCAATATTTGCCTGTACTTCCTTTCGTTTTTATGTATTTTGTAGTATTCATTTTCTAGATTGTAAATGTTGTTTTTTCTTGTTATTTTATTAAATATCTACTTTTGTCTTTACTGTGTATTACTTGTTGATTTTTTTCTTTTCTACATGTTTTTAGAATACTATATGACAAGTTCTTCTTGCCTCCAAACCCCAAGCAACACATTTTCTTAGCTTTTAGCACAATTATTTATTCACCGGATTTGTTTCATTCGTATACATTTTTGGCGTTTTTATCTGATGGAGACTTTTTCCCGGCTCTTTCATCATTTTTGTGCAATTTGTTATTTGCTGGGACCTCCCTACAGCCTATTTCTTGATGCTCGCTTTCCTCCTTTCTTCACACATTTTTTCACTGGCTGCTCTGCTTTGGGTTTTGAGATATTCCCATATTTGAACTGTGTTCCTGTCTATGTAAGTTTAATCAGGATTTTCTAATTTTAGTCCCTGTATGTATTCTTGTTTCTTAGTTTATAGGATTTTGTTGTTCATATTTCAACGTTCGTTTTATGAAGTGTGTTATTATTATGGCTGTTGTTGGATAAACATCAAAGCTTCAAGAGCGATTTAAAATTTAAGTAGACAAAACATATAAAGAAATTGAATTGATTTGTATGAGCTTCTAGCGGATGCGATCAATGTTTTTAGGCTTGTGTCGTATATAGATAGATTATGTAAACGCTATTATTTTTAGTTCTCATTAGCAGGAATAGATTAGTTGAAAAGTTCAGCATTTACAGCTACTGGTTTGTTAATGCTAATGGGAATTTCTTGCATTTATCACCAGGATTTGTTGAAGAGATTTATGCAATATTGCATAGATAATTAAAAATAATTAAAATATTGTTTTGTTCATTTTTTACTTAGGATTTTTTATTTTCATTTTCAGGTAAGTGGATCAATGGAGATAGTGAATTCAGTGAATGCAAGAAAACTGAAATTTAGCAGATGATGCAAGAAGTATTTCAACGGTGAGTTTTATTATGCATAACTTTATTCCAGTGTGCAAAAACTGCAGTTATATTGCAAAAACATTCAGTTTGCTGTAGAAGTTTCCCAATAATTTCGTTAAACTAGAATTATTTGAACTTCAATATGAGCACATTAACATCATAACACCATCAGCTGAACAATTTTTCAATACAGCAAAAAAGTTTGAAATTTTGCTATTCAAACGTGACAATTATTCCCGCTAGACAACAAAAGAGTAGTTCGGAAAACTGTTTCAAACGCGCAAAGCCCAAAATAATTGCAAATATTTTCGGAACAGGTAAAATATTAATCATTTTGCGTCCAAGTAAGTAAGTCAATATGTTCAATCGAGTTCAAAAATGAAAATTGTATTGAATAAAATCAAATTACTTGCCATTTAAAAAAACCTGGCAACGTTTGCAGGATTGTTCACATTTTTAAGCGTAAAAGTGGAAACTGACCAACACTTTCATTTTTCGGTTATTTTCTACTAATTGCCACAAAACACGTGTAAATTTGCTTCACTGTGAAAAAACTTCAAGGAAAAGAAATCGTTTTTGGGATTTTATTAATATTATTAATACAGAAAGAAACCACATACAGAATAAAAAGGAAGCTCAATAACTCGACAATGTTAATGTTGCTACATCAGACACGTAGAACAAGGAGAAAGGTATAAGAAAGGCACGTGATTAAATTTTTTAATAAATTACACTACTCGTATATCATTATTGTTGGGTTGTTACCAGTTCGGTGGAACTAATTAGTATGCGTGTGTACAATCGAATGTTGTTGGCGCCGCTGAAGAACATTTTTATTAGCTTCGTGGGCTTTCTTATGAACAATAGCATTTCAGCTTTTTATTGCTGTCGTAATCGAACCTAAACATGAACATTTCAGCTGCAGTGTGAGAGTTTTAAGTCAATTTGATAGTGAGAGTTGCACTCGCTAAAAGAAGTTTTCTTGTTGTGCAAAAGACAAAATGAGTTTTGAACCGATATTAAATATGACCAGAAAATTGACCCGTTTTAAACGCTTAACGTATGAACTATTCACTTTAAGTGAGAAAACTGAAAATGAGGAACCAAAGCTTTGGACACGTGGCACATAAATGAAACAGGGCTAATATTTTTCAATTGCAATTGGTTCCCGACGCTTTCCTTCTCTTTTCCTTTAATTTTAATTGTATTATTGAATTAATTTTAATTCATCTTAAGACCGATGTCATGCAAGTCTTGTTCTTGGTCTAGTTGTCGATGGGAATTCGATCCTGACGTTTCTCTAGCACATGTGCCTACCGTCTTCAGAGGTATGTTCGCTTCGGCGGCGAACATATCGAAAATCACCCAACAGGCTCCACTTTGTTTTCAGTGCGTTAAAAAAAGTATTGAATAATTCAAATTGAATTGCTTTGAACAATTTAATGGCTGGCCATTCTTCATGTTGAAGTCATCAGAGCAAACCGCCCATTCAAAGCCATCCACATTCCAGATGTATGTTTGCCGTTTCCGCCGAAAACCGAAAGCGTTTTAGCATCTTTTTACACCCACACGTTCGGTCCATGATGGGTCAAAGTTATTCGCCACCCAACAACACACATGACCGAATATTTTACAGAGGAAACATGATCCTCGTCAGGTGGACGTCCCGTGGATAAGACGTGGCTAAATAATGGAACTGCCAACATGGCTATTTGTACGCACAACGTACGGCTGTCACGTATTTCGCTGCGAATCTCTTTATGTTATGAAGTAGGAAGACGGAAACTGAACATACTTTTCCCTGTATTATCGGTGTCCATTAAACTACTCATATGTTATGGGATATGCTGGCTCTTAAATATTACCAGGGTTCAGATGCGCTCAGTTTCCCTGAGGAGCGATTCAAAAGTTTGCAGTTTCTTCCGCCATTTATTTTATAAGGAATTTTTTTGTTGTCTTGTCCAATAGTGCTTCTCTACCTGATGAGAGTTGATAAATTCCAAACCGGTCCAGCAATAAAAAGACTCATTGATCGCTTTAGAAACTCAATTGGAGAGCTAAATTTGTAACCTCTGAAGTATTTGTTTTTCTATTTGCCTTCTAATTTCAGCTGTAACTTTTGTGCGAATTTCTCCCCATTTTGAATCACCTTTGGTTAATTTTGATTTTCTGTATGTTAATTCCACGGTAAAACTGTACCAAATAGTGAATGTGCCAAATTAATAAGCTTTAGAAAAACTTGCAGGCTGAAGAAGTTATTGCTCTAATTCGCCAGTCCCCATACCAGCAAGCTACTAAATAAGAGGAGGTTTTATCATTTTATTTCTGTATCAAACCGTGTGCCATAAGTGGGACGAATGCTCAAATAGTATTTATTTTTGCACATTATGCATAATCGCTGAGACGGATCTGAGTTTATTAAATATACCGTTGCTGGTTCTTACACCTAGCACCTAGCTGATTATTTGATTTCTTCAGCTTTTCGATATGCAAACCACTTTTTCTCGGTAATACGGTTTGATTATCTTCTATTTATTTTACGTTTATTACATCCAATGTGTATGATTAAACAATATTTGAATGGGATGGAAAAAATGGTCGTTTTGCGTTCCCGTTTCATTGCACTTTGGCTGGTGGCTTCCGGTTATTGTATTTTCTTAATTTAGGTCAGAAATATCACGATACAACTCTACTGGCGGTTTCGGTGATTTTAAGATGATTTGCCAACATTTTTGATACTACAGAATCCCAATGAAAAACTGTATATACAGATTTATCTCAGGTCATAATGTGTCCAGTCATAATCAGTTTCTGAGGATAAAAGTGTGGATGAAGTTCCGCAAAATATTTTGGGACAGAAAAATATTTGAATTTTGAGCAAATGTTTCGGGAAAATCTATGTTCAAAATTGAGGCAACGACTGAATAAAATCGTTTTCTCCCTAAAACATATTAACATCTTCTGTATGAAATTTATTTTCCTCGTTAACTTATACAATAGATTCCGCCCAAAAAAAACATATAAAGTACGGAAAACTCATGATCACTCGAATCTATAAGTGAATAACCTGATTATTTCGTAAGCGAATTTGTGTAATAATCATAAGATTCGTTATTGTATTTATTTATACTTGATACACCTGAAAAGGTTATTGCACTATTAACATGTGGGCCACACATGTCACTTTCGAAATATTCCTAATGGATATTAAGTATATTACTTGAAGCAGTAGCTGAACGTAAAGATCGGAAAACAACAGGCGGTAAATTACCCTCGTTCCTTTCAAGTAACGAAATTTTTGATTGAGACATTTATTATGATCGGTTTCAGTTAGTTTATGCGACAAGTTGAGATAAAAATTGACAGCATTTTCAATTAACGATGTTTATTTAATAAATTCGTTTTATCAGTTTCGACTTAAAATTGATCTATTTCTAAATGCCAATGGAGCCTAAGTGGGAAGCTGATAATCTAGTTTTTATGCAAATTTTCCGATACGTTTAAGTTAGCATCTAAATAATGTCATGAATCAATTATAAAAAGATTATTCCATATATCTTTCGACGGTCGCAGCATTAAAAGCGTTTACGCATAAATGGCCGTGTTGGGTTTTTGACCTAAAAATGTTGTTATTCAACTAGAAAATCGGTTTAAAAGTGATCTAATTGTCTATCTATTAGATAATAGATAGACAGATAAACTAGATAGTTTAACATCAATTAACTCAGTGGATTGTTGGTGTGATTGAGGAAGCATTAAATAACATTTATATTCATACCACGCCAGGAAAATGAGTTAAATGAGCTGATCAGCACCCCGGGGACAAAAATAAATAGAAAGTGTCATTCGTATATCCTCATTAACTATTACAACTATATTCAGGAGAAAAAAAATCGGTTCGTATAGGAAGATTCTCGGCAACGTAATTCGCATGCATTAGAGTGGATGTAAGTTAGAAAATAACCGCAATCTAGCTATTTAAAGCAAGGCCATTAAGATTCTTGCACAATTACTGTTAGAAAAGGTTCGACTAGGAACTTTTGCGGATGTTTTACATTTTCGAAGCGCCGAGATGTTCACACGGGTGCGAACAAACCACACCAAAGGTTTCCGTGAGGCTCAAGCATGAATTTCCAGTTGGAAAATGGAAATCAATTGGGGAAGTTTCCTTGTCAATGTAGTACAACTTAGGGCTTCGAAGCAGAGTTATAATGTTTGTGAAAGAAAAATTCAGGGTGCAAAAAGTTTTTGAAAAGTTATGGCCAAGTTTGCCTGAATTTATACACATCGTACAACCACAGTTTTTGATCACTTTCTCATGTGATATTCCAACTGCGAAAAACGAAATCAACCTGAAACTAGATTCAATGTAGGTTTGAAGAAATTTAAGCATTGTAATTGGTAACTTTTCGGGCGTTGCCGGATCAAAAAACTCTTGTTAAAATACATGTTTTTAAACTTTGTGAGATTAAATTCCCAGAACTGAATAGTATTGACATCAAAAGGCAACTAATAACCGCTGTTGAGTTCTATTTAGAACATTTTTCTGCAAAATGTATTTTCCATTTCTTTAACCAGCCAAATTCTCCTATAGTTTGGTTGATTTGAAAACAATTTTTTGAATGCTATTCAAAGTAGCACACGTATTTCAAAGTAGTAAATGTTAGATATCATCGATTTCGTGCAAGATAACCAGAATTTCTTCAATTAAAATGTGAAGAAGTAAATAAAATGGTCTCCAGGTTTTGAAATTTTTTTATATCAAAGATATTTGCTTTCGGATTCTGAAACCCGACTTATTCCGTGTGGTAAAACCAGAACAAAAAGTAAGAATTGCAAAATAATGGAAAATGATGTGTTTAATTAAGTTTATTTTTAGACATTTTTAATCATTCGCCGTATTTTCTCTTTGCCTTCTTAGTCCTACTGAAATTTTTCTCCAATTTTTATACCCAATAATTTACAACATTTCCAAATCCTTTAAATAATTTCATGTAATTAGTCCGCTCCCAATGTTGAGCGTTGAACCTTGTATGCTCTCGATACACACCTACATTTAAAGAGATTCCTCTATATTTCCTATATTATTTCATGCCATGTCTTTGTGGCTATTTTGATAGCAGAATAACCACAGGAATCTACCAGGTTACATGCCAGTACATGCTTTTACTTAGCTGAGGAAAACCGCATGAAAATGCTGATAGGAAAGTTTATTCTTTTGTTGTTTAGTTAACGCTCTGTAGAAATTTCGATGCTTTATTGGAAGTTTGAATATTTACCCATTGCCCGCTCTCGTTTAAAAGCTTTTGAAAAAGTGTTGAGCGCTCTTATGTTCCTCAAACTTGGTCTGTTTGGAGCCTAATCTTTAGTGAACAGTCCATAGAAAATTCACTTACTCATTGAAAGGTTGTGAGGAATTGCGATTTTTTACACAAAGTTTGAGTAATTAGCTTTTTTCTGCTCTGGTTTGATGGTTTCGGAAAAGTCGTTCAGTGCTTAAATGTTGCTCAAATTTGGTCATTTTCGATATTAATGTTTAGTTAACGCTCTGTAGAAATTTCAGTGTTTTTTTGGAAGTTTCTGAGGCGCTGTGATTTGTTCAACAAAGTTTGAATAATTAGCCATTTCCGCTCTTGTTTGAAAGTTCCCAAAAAATTGTTGAGTGCTCGGATCTTGCTCAAAGTTGCTCATATGTTCGCTGCTTTTCTTGAAAATTAAACAAGCTTATTAACACCAAAAACACTCCTTCCCTGACTATAATTTTGCTATAAAATATTCCCTTCATTTGCGGTGTTGTGATGTTGACTATTTTATTTTATTTTCTTGTAATTACCATCTTAAATCCTTATAAATTTTGCTATCAAAATCTAAACAAATGCATCGCACTATGCGAAAATAAATGTAAACTCTAGCCAATAAAATCGTTCTTTTCCGATTCCTACAGCCAACATAAATGCAGTTGCATAATACATTGCTGATTGGCCAATAGATCAATTGCTACCACATAGGGAAACCGTCCTATACATTGATGCACGTCACATTTCCAAAGGCACAATTATGTAAACGACGTTATTTTAATAAAGCAGTTGCTATTAAAATTTGAATTTACTATCTTGGTTTCACATAATTAACGTTTGTGATTTCCTCGTATTAAATATATAGACTCATCGTGGAAGATGACCTCATTAAAATATTTAAAATGGCATTCAACCTGTCGAGGATGTCGTGACCGCATCTCGCATTCTCAATATTGTTGTAATACGTAAGAGCATTTTAATCAAAAAAATACAATAAACGTCTTTATATCGAATGTATCGAAAACGACAGTAATTCGTGACAGTCATCTCTGAATGCTCGAGTGATTGTTGCATTTTCCTGCGCGCAAAAAATTCGTCTTCAATTACTCTAATTATTGAGGTTTTCAATGGTCATCAATGAAATGACGAAAAAACTAAACGAGCAGAGCTGAAATAATTAAAACCTGTTGATAATCAATCTATTTGCGGATATAGCAATTGTTTTTTGTGGCTTCTTTGCATTCCCGCTAATCAGATCATATTACCAATCTGGCCGGAAATAATTTGTGAATTACTTCGTTCAGAGCCAGAGTTTTAGTTTATTTAAATTTCTAGCCGACCTTTTGTTAACAGCTTCAAAAGTATTTCTGTTGAATGTCGCATTTTATAGCTTGATCTATAAGGACACGATTTACACAATTTTCAATAACAAAATAATTGAGTTTTTTGCGTGCAAAGTTTCCAGTGCTAAAGAATAGAAATGCTGCAGGCATTGAGAGTAAACTGATACTCAAATAGTAGTAGTAGCTGCTTTTGAGTCATTTGTAGCTCGTTGATGGTTTGTGGAAGGTTGTCTGGATGTAATATACGAAAACGCAATTTATCTATTTAATCCCAACAACACGCAGGCCACTTGAATAGACATAGCCTGCGGTTTTGCAGTAATTCTACCGCCATAATTCAACCGGATAGTATAAGTCTTCGCGTAGATTGCATGAAAATAATAAACCATATATACGAGCCGTTAAAGCCGCAGCTGTGAACCAAAAATACGATTGGACATTGACTATGCATCTACATGTATTGTTGCTGCTGTTTTCCGGAACTGATTCTCAGAACTCTGATTATTTTTGCCTCTGCAGTAGCTGACCGATTAGCGGAACAAAATCAGTCGTTTTGAGTTGAAGATCATCCAGTAGAGGATCATAAATTAAATGTTTTTATAGCCGATTTTCTTCACTTCTAAAAGTTGTCCTCTGAAAATGTTTTATACAATTTTTTCTGTTTATTTTGGGCGGTTTTGATCAGCCCACGATAATTTTTTAAGAAGAAACTTTATATCAGCCTACGCCCAAAAATTACTCTTTTTACAGGGTGTTTATCTCGAAAACAAAGCAAAATACTGGTTGCTTAATCCGAAAAAAGAAACGAAAATATATCCGAAAATATAAGCGAAAACGCTTCGATCCCGTTAAAACCACTTTACGTTACTACACTCTCGAAGGAGTGTTTTTTTGAAGATCTTTTATAGAGAAATGTAGAAAAGCTGGGGCTGAATCGCTTGCAAATAAGACACGAATTTTTCCGAAGTTGTCTTCCTCCAAACAGAAACTTCACTGGAGTTGCCATAGGACAGAAACGTGAAAACATGAATTTGTAGGACATTTGAATAACCATTTTTATTCCTTTCCCAAGCACTAATAAAACAAAAATTATTAATATTTTCACGTAAAATCCTTGTTGAATCCGAACACGTAATCCTGCTCAAATATTCAGTAGACAGCAATCGTGTTAAATAATTTTTGAATGGACATTCCACAACTATTTATCTATTTTGTTACAGATGAATTATTGAACACCTTGAATGAATAAGAATCGCCGCAAATACACTTTCGATATAAACACGGTTCAGTTTGGAACTGGAATCGTTAAATAGTTGCAAGAATAGCGATGTTGGAATGGGTTAAGGTTAATGTGATCGTATTTTATTCTACACGTACACACCTGTCGACCACTACAATCTAAACAGCTACTATTTCAGCTCGTTATTAAATGTCAAACACTGATTTTTATTTTAATTGATCATTTGTAAATAACACACTTTTCACTTTTTCATTAGAGCCTGCCTGCCAGTTGAGTAATTTCAATTTCATTACTGTGCGAAAACACTTATGCTAATTGGCCACTTCAACAGCTTCAAACATTAACCAATCGATTACAATGTAGTTTTTCGCGTAACATCTATTGACCAAACTCGGGCGCAATCTATTAATTATGATCTGAATAGTGCGATTTAATCAAAATTTATTTACTTTTCGAAAAAGCGGCAGCACTAATGTAGGCAAAGTGATCTATTATATTAACAGTGATCGATTCGATTTCTCTATTGCATTTTATATGGCGATTGTGGCATTTGGACGAAAAAAACGAACAAAAAAACATTAAAAATCCATCTCGTCAATGTTGATCGCCGTTGTTAAATAATTCATTCGCTGGAGCCTCTATCAGAGCCGAAATATTATAATAGATAGATAGCAGACTGCATTAAATTTAAGTGAAAGTTGATTCTTCAGACGCATGATATACGAGTGGGTGTTTCTTATCGTCATAAGAATTCATAATTATAGTAGTGTAAAGGTCTTTGTCCTGATCAAATTCAAGAACCCCCCCAGCTAATGCCGTTTGATTTTTGTATTCAATATGAAACGCGTCAGAAATGCCTTTACGAGAACGATGTTAAAGGGAACTTTTTGGTTACGAAATACAAAAAGACGGTAGAAAAAACACAGCCCTTTTTTAAACTATTACTTGATAGGAAGTTCCTTCCAAAAATCGAGCTTAAGGAAAATATACGCGAAAACTTTCAATTATTTTTCCTGGTTGCTTCGGCTGCGAAAAAATGAATTTGCGTGTAATAAACGAGGCTTTTCTCATCTTGAGAAGATTGGACAGCTTTCACGCCTCCCAAAGGAAGGTAAACTTTATGCATGTCCGACATTGTTATACATTTGAGGTTTCCCTAGAGCATAGAACCGCTTTAAACTATTCCTAAATCCCAAAATTCAAAGTGCATCTTTACCAGCTAGTACCTTCAACAAATATATTCAATGTAAAAATCAAAGTATCCGTGAGGATTCCTCTCTTCCGCTCTACGGTTTCTCCAATTTTTTCTTCATTTCACAAGAATTAATTAGTAGTGTTTTGACTGGAGGAAGTGCCAGGCCATTTTTTCCATTCTGAATAATCTATCTGCATCTTCCAAGTTAAATTATGATAATGGCCTGTTATTAAAATGTCACTTGCTGTGTGGGTCGCGTGCACAATGCGAGATGGATTAGTTGTATTGTTGTACGGATTGTTTTAGCTTTCACTTGAATAATGCGCACATGCCGGACAATTTTCTAGCAATCTGCTATTGCTATCAATAAAGCGATTGATCGATTATTTTTCACGCCTGGTTTACCCATTTTAATTCATTTATTTCATGTGGAAACGCGCAAGATTAACAGACAGATCGTTGTCTGCTGGTCTAGAGGCAAGGACGTAATTATCTAGGCTGAGTGAAACATTGGAAAAAATCCGATAAACTTTCCCTGGCAGATGATGCGAATAGGAAGAAAACATGGAAAGAAGCATTACGAAAAAGAAAGTCTAATGCTTCCGCTTGAGATTTGTTTAAGAGATATATGAATTGGACGCGTCGACTAATCAAAACTCTCACAAAAAATTTACAACCATTTATTTCCTTTTATAATCACCCAACTAGATCTGTTTGTTTATTTTCGATAATGAAAAGGCACTTAGTCGCCTCAGGTCTATCGTTGTTGTATCCCGGTGCCCGAAAATATTCCCATCAATCTATTTTTAATGCCATTTTTATATGCAGGTGTTTCTAAGAAGGAAATGCCATATTAACGGCTACCCCGTAACCATAATCATCCCATAATCGGCCTGAGATTAGAGAAATGAGCCTGAACAGGAACGAACTAGCCCGACCTCTAGTTGAAATGGCAAATTTACAAATGGCCACAATTTTTTGAAAGAAATCGTCATGGGCGATCAGTGCGGTGTCATCTGCATAGTGCGTATATATGTAAGCGAGTGCTTTGATTTGAAGCCAAATTGAGATGTTTTTCTATTATTTTTTGCAATCTGTGCACGTTTATATATAAATAATTTTAATTATAAATTTAGCGATTCCTTTAATGCGTTTCTGGGTATTGGCGATTACGTCTAATTGCATTTTGACTCAGGAAATATACGAATTGCTACCAGAAAGCTGCTAGCAACAAGAACATATACCTGAGTCAGCAATAAAATTAAAACGAGAGAGTTTTTGGAAGAAACATCGAAAATTGTGCATAGAAAATGTTTAAAGGCAACCCTGATCCAAATTCGAACACATGTCCCGTTTTCAGTTTTCCTCTTTGTCACTTGTCCGTTATTCCACCACATTTTCAACATTTCAGACCTGTAAAGTGATCCTTTATTTATCTGGGAGGTGAAAGACACCCATATTAATTTTCATCAGCTCCGCATCTTTTTCAGGACAAGTCTGTGTTGTTTTGTAATTAATGAGGGTGGTTGGTGAGAATTTCAACACCCCTCGATGTTTAACGCCTTAACTTTTTTATTTGTCTTATAAATTTGGGGTTTTCTCCATTCGGAGAAATCTGGCGACACTTAAAAATAAGTGTTCCATTCTCTTCCGCCTTTATTATATTAAAATGCTCTTTTTTTAAATTACTAAACCTTTGTAATAACAAGAACCAGTAAAGACATGACAGCACTTTTTAACTAATAGAACATTTACGTTGTAATAAAAACTCGGTTTTCCAATTTTAAACTGCATATTACAAAATACGGATTTCCATTCCCAATAATTCCATTCAACTTATTTCCATGTCAAATTGAAACAATTCTGTTTCCGGTGGAACCCACGCGGGACAATGTGCAGGAACTGCATTAACAAACTGTTACGTACCTGGCGTTCAGAACCAATTCGCTATGCCGGAATGGTACGCGATAATGCACTTTACTCTAATAGTGCTTTTACTTTTCTTCTACCTTTTGCAGCCTTTTTCATTCACTGTTGTCGCCGTTTTTTCTTCCTTTGGATTGAAGTATGGCGCCTCTTTTACGAAACGGTTTTTGTTCGGGCTTGTTAAAGTGTGCTTGAATTTGTACGGACATTTTTATGGCGAAATTTTACCGGTTTGCTGACGGATTTTGCACTTGAAAGTGCAGAATCTTGGACTTTTGGGTAATATTTCAATTCGACATTCTATCTGCTTGAAACGATGCATTTTTCCTGGCGATTCTGCCGTTTTGTTGCATTTTTTTTTAGTTCGAACCCCAATGGTTCTTCTATAAATATCTTGAATTTGAATAATTTATATCATCGAACTGTTGAAGATTTTTGTGGTCATGTATGGACGGACAGAAAGCTGTACATTTTGCCAAAAATTTACGAGTATTCTAAATCTCTTGAAATTGTGCTTACTTATGAGTGAAAGCTTCTTCTATAAACATCTCGAGTTTCAGGAATTTGTCTGCATGAGCTTGTGAGCTGGTTATTTTTAAAGGCAATCGTGCAGTTCTGGGCACATTTAGGAAGGGCAAACATTTTTTTTTAATTAACGAGTTATCCGCATCGGCAGAAAATATGTTTAAGTATTGACTAAGGCTTTGTCTATGAATATCTTGAATTTGAACATTTCTCCTCGGCAAATTTGCAACTTGGGTATTTTTCAAAACAGTTGTGCAACTTTGGGACTTATTTATCAGAGGCAGAAACATACAATTTTCTCTAAAAATTAAGTGGTATTCCAACTCGCTTCAAATTATGTACAGTTATAGACAATGACTTCTTTTATGCAGTACTCAAATTTCATCATTTTACTTGCATGAGTTTGAGAGTTGTAAATTTGTCAAGACAATGGTATACTTTTTGATCATGTTTAAGAATAACTTACAACGTCGGTTATTCTTTTAGATTTTTTTTCAAAATCGACCAGAAATGCGAATTTGGGGAAACTGTACAATTATTAACTAAGGATTCTTCTATAAAACTTTCAAATTTCAGCATTTCACCTGCATGAGTTTGCGACTTGAAAACTTTTAAGTGATCTTGTAGAAAGTTTCTTTAGAAAATTAGAGGGGAATCCGACTTTATCTAAATTGTGCTCACTTCTGCCTAACGCTTCTTCTATGAAAATCTCAAATCTTAACAGTTGGGCAATTTTCAGACATATTTATCAGCGGATAAAAATATTAATTATTTCTATAAAATGAAGTAAAATTTCAAATCGCTTTAAATTGTGTACACTCTGAAAGCTTGCTTGTTGTAGAAGAGCCTCAAATTTCCTCGTTTTATCTGCATGAGTCAAGTTGCACGTGTGCACTTTTGTGTCCCCTGCTGAGAATAACCAAACATTTTTTTTAGAAAATCGGTCAAAAATCCAAATCTGTTAAAACTCTAATTAACCCGCTTCTTCTATGAACATGCAAAATTTCATCATTTTATCTGTTCGAATTTGTGAGTTGCAAATTTTTGAAGGCATTGGTGTAGTTGTGTTATAACGAGTAGAATTTGTTTTTATTTTTCAAAAAATAAACTAGGTTTTTGAATCGCCTGGAATTAAGTACATTTATGAGCAACGGCTCCTTCTATATTTACCTTAAGTTTCAATATTTTGTCTGCATCAGTTTGCGAGTTGTGAATTTTTGAAGACAATTGTGCACTTTTGGCCCGCCTCTGAGAATAACCAAAAATATTTTTTTTAGAAAATGACCCAGTAATGAAAATCTACTGAAACTTTCTACCCTTCTTAACCCAAGCTTCTTCTATGGAAATGTGCAATTTCAATAATTTATCTGCTCAATTTTGTCAGTAACGAAGTTTTTACGACATTAGTGCATTTTGGGGCGCATTTATCAACGACCAGAGTACATTTTTTCGAATGCACATATGAGCAAAGGCTTCTTCTATATCAGAAATTTTAACAGTTTATCTGCATGCACTTGCGAGTTGTGGTGCACTTCTGAGTCTCATTTAGGACTAACTGCAAAGGTTGCAACTCTGCCAGATGTGATTTAATTTTTTGCCTTTTCTAGATAATTTATTCTCCTCGGATGATTGTCCTTGATTAAAGGCTTGCATTCTCGAACACTTAGTCACTATATTGGTATTTCATTCTTTGTTTTTAATTTAGTTATTGTATTATTACTCTCGGCCACCTGGAGATTAATCCACGAGCCACCACTGAGAAGTAATTCCGCGTAAGACGTTAAAATGCACAAAGACGATTGATTTTATTTTCTGAATGGAAATGAATGAGTATCAGTCCCGTTATCGCCCACATTACAGGAATCTCGCTGGGCAAACGTTAAATAACGCAGGTGTAAAACGTACGTAAGGTAAATATTAAATTTTCCTGATTTTAAATCTTTTCAGCCAGGCCACTGAATAATTCCTCAGACTGCTCGTACGTTACCGAAATGAAGACATAAATCCTGTCGTCTAGCAATCTTACTAATCTCGCCTTTTTTTTAAATGCTCCTACTTTATGGCTTTTACTAATGTTATATCATGTAACCGAATACTTCTTTAGGAGATACGTTTTAATAAGAAAGATAAGTACGAACAGACCTCCCTCTGTGATTTAACACAGGACGAACTGTATGATTTATTACTTGGGACGTCACTTAGTTGGGAGTCAGTTTTAATTAGTCGGGTATAATTGAAAGCAGTACCAGTTTCTGTGAAATAATGTCGACTTTTTATGAAATATGCCGGGGAACCGACCGTTTTAAGGGAACTTTTACTGAAAAAATTTGTTCATGCTTGCCAACGGCAACGAAAATGTTTTGAAACAAATGACGAATTTGGCCTTACAAGTCAATAAAATCATTGATAGATAGAATCAGCCGGCTCGTAATGAATTTAATTATATACTGCTATTTTTCCTCATAATAAATTACAATTCCTTCTTTCGCAATGAATTGGTCATTAAAAATAATTGGCACGCATTGAATTTTGGAAGACGGCAATTTTCCTACCAAACCGTCAAAACACGGTGTTTCAGCTTCAAATTATTCTCATTGTTCCGTTTAGGATGAGAAATCAATTTAATTGAGTTTGATTTTCAATTAATCAATTTTTTTCCGTTGCCGCAAATAACATTAAATATCGGTAGACCACATGAAGTTAATCAATCATATCAAAAAGTTGATGCCACTAGAACCAGTCTAGACTCGAAACCACGATAACGAGATTTCAGTTCGGATTCATTTGTCATTGGACGGGAACGATTACCGATGACTGAAGAATCGGTAACGAGACATTCTTCTGTTTGGGATTTCGGGTACGAGAGCCCCGTATCAATAAGATATCCGGTCAATCTTTTAAATCGGGCTTGTCATAATTATGTTCACAATGCTTCCATAGAAAATTACATCGATCAGTCGAGGTCTTCAATTTCTTCATAAATATCATCTGAGCGAATGAACAAAACTGAAACTGAAGCACTTATGAATAACAGGTGGTGGCAAGTTTTCTAGAAAATCAACAACCTATTAATTAAGGCTGCTTCTATGTATATCACGAATTTGAATGTTTTATCTGCTCCACCTTGCGAGTTGCGAATTTTCACAGACAGTTGGCCATTTTCGGATGAACGGACAAGACGCTTACATTTTTTCAAAAATAATCGAGTGTTCCGAATCGGTCGAAATTATGTACACGTATGGACGAAGACTTCTCTCACAAAATTCTCAACTTTCAGCTATTTGTCTGCATGAGATGGTAAATTGTGAAGGGTTAAAGACAATCGCGTACTTTTCGACCATCATTGAGAATAACCAATTTTGCAAATTTATTAGAAAAAATCAACCAGAAATTGGAGTTTGTTGAAACTTTGCCCAATTATTAACTAAGGTTTCTTCTACGAATGCCTTGAATTTTAACCTTTTATCTGCTGAAGACTGCGAGTTGTAAATTTATTTTTTATTTATGAAAATTCCCAGGGGCTTGAAGTTGTGGACTGAAATTGTGTACTGTTTGTGAAAATATTGAATTTTAATATTCAATCTGGCTGAATTAGTGAGCTGTGAATTTTTAAAAACAGAGGAAGCAACAACAACTACAAGCAAACAAAAAGTTACCTACTTAAATCAGTGACTAAGCTTT